GATGCTGTCGAGAGCTGAAAAGATTCGATACTAACTTAAAAGAAGAAAGCCGTAAAATTTACCATAAGCAAAGAGAAGTTTTCAATTTAGAAATGTGGCTCTTATAACCAAAAAACCAAGAATTTGCAAATCTGCTTTACCCTGCTCAGTAACACCATCTTTCCGAATGCCCATTCGAAGCCCGGCTGCACGGGCATAACCACGATTCCAAGCTGTATGGTCAGAACCGGTAGTGTATTTACCTGTAGCGAATCTCGTGAGCAACATTCAAAATTAGATTTTAAAAAAGCCAAGCAGAACTATACTTACATGGGTGAAATATTGAAATTTTCGACTCTTCAGCTGTTTGCGGCTTTTTGTCAGCACTTGCCATCTGTACTAAAACAAATAAGTGAAAGGAAAAAAAATAGTTCTTAGGTCATATATGTACGCCAATGAGCGCTGCCTTCCTTATCATCACTGGCATACTTCTAAAATTACATCAACGAAAAAAGGAAAAAACAATCTACACAATCTTAGATTTACATTTTTGAGCTTACCGTTCAATTAACTACTGAATAATATCCATCCCAAAAAAAATGACTATACTTCAGCGTTTAATTCACTTAAAGTAAGAGATAGGCGTGGATCATCGTGTGGCGCGAGTACACCCTGCGCATAGCGCACGACAGATTTTTCCTTATTTCAAAACAGGATAATAGTTGCTCTTCTTTCACGCTGATTTTAAAGGACTTCAATCTGTCTCGAAATTCAGATTTTTCAAGGATATCATGAGCACTTTTGTAGTAATAAGAGTGTACAGTCCCCTGTAAGATTCAACTAGTTAATTTGAAATTCTTACGACTCTTCTCATCATCTGCTACTTGTTACAATTGTTTACGGGACTGTGAAAAGTTGTGAGTCGACTTGTTTTCACCATTTGATTTGATTTGGAAGATTGAAATATGTGTGTAATTGATGATTCACCATTAGAGGCCATTGTGACCAATGAATACATTAGGCAAGGTCGAGTGGCTAT